AGATATCATCCCAAGCACTTACTTGCTGTACATTTTCATCGACCGAGTCAAGCCGGAAGTAGGCTGAGCTGGCGCGTGCTCCTCGAACCGTGCGCAGACAGGGTCCATTCAGGTTGTCTGACACGAATTTGAACACCAGCGGACCGCCGAGGTTCAGTAGCGTGGTGTAGAATTGTACCTCCGCTGAGCTGAAGCGCCGCCGTGCTGTGTGGATGCTCTTTGCAATGCCCAGCAGGAGCTGCTCGAGTGCGGAGCCCTCCAACTTGAAGTCGTGAGCCGCACCTACAACCAGGTGCCACCAAGTCCGATTATCACATGGGCAGGATTAGAGCGACACGGGCAGCAACATCTAGGACCTAACTTGCACCATTGATGCAAAACCCCTAAACCCTTAGTAACAACGAGGACACAAAGCATTTGACGGCTCTAATGCAGTGCTTTAGGGTACACACGGTTCCCCATCCATTTTCTAGTCCGTCCCCGTCCGTCTCACCTGTCGTGTAAGCCTTCTCAAGAAGCGCAGTCAGCTCCTGCCCTCCCCCCCGCTGTTTGGCTTGCTCTCGCAGCTCCTCCTCACAGCCGAGCATCTTCACGGTAAGCTGGTCCACGTCGCGCGTGAGCTGGACATTTCGACTTTGGCACACTTCCAGCTCCGATAGCGTGGCTTCAAGATGTGCAACAAGCTCCAAGTGGCCAAGCTCACGGATGCTCACATGTCGCAATGCTGGAATAATGTTCTGTGCAGCATTATCATAGCGGAATGCTGCGCGTGTGCCCTTGCGCTTAAGCTGGTGCACATCATGCTTTAACAGCTCAGCACACGCAGGGCATGGCTTCCCAACTGGCCTGGCAGCCACAGAGCACAGCACCGCACGAAGGCAGTGTTGCTCACCCACAAAAGCAGGAAGCTTGGCCCCCCGTGCCACCATATCCTGTGTTGGGCGTGCACTGTTAACCTCTCAGACCTTATTATGAACACATTAGGCCTTGTGCGCCTGATGGAACCGCAGCCAAGGCTCTCCCCTCCCCTCCGTACCTCAAGTTCACCACATTGACTATGCAAGCAGGCGTCTCCACGACAGGCGGCTGCGATATCTGAGGAGTGAAGGACACCTTGCGGTGCGCAGCCGTAAAGGTGTTCATACGCAGGACCTCGGACACCGGGACAGAGCAGCAAATCTCTGATGAAGGAGCTGCGAGCTGTCGAGGCTGCCACGAAAGACACCGTACGATCGCCGTCGGTGGTTTGGCCTGTGATGTCATTTAGTGACCCGAGGGCTGCCCCGATCGCCCGGGGAGAGCCCGGCTGTGTTCGTTCCGAAGCAGACTGACATTCCGAAGCAGACTGAAGCGACAAACGCTCGTTGAAGCGGATCTCGACTGAGGAAGAACTCGCATCACAGAGGTCTACGTACCTAACTTCACACTGGCTGCTATTGCAAATCGCGCGTCCGAAGGGAGGAAGGACTGTTATGTTCGAAGGACGGCCACAGCAACAAATTATAATGCTGTGGTTAGAATGGCAGAACGTACAAGGGTGTTCTGTCAAAATGTCCATGGCTGGGACCGTGCACCATTGGTTCAGGTTCATAGCGCAGGAGTTCAGCTGCACATTCCGGCGCCAACATTCCACGTTGGGTGCGCCAAAGCGCTACGATAAACAACTTGATAACATTACATCAAGCCAGACAGTCCAATTGGATTGCTTTTGAGTCGACTTGGACTTCTGCGCAAGAATTGCTCCTATGCACTATAATGTGCAGAGTTAGGTGGAGTTGTGCCACAACAAAACAATAAAGACTGCAAACTTTCTCAGAGTTGTGCATACTGGCTTGGGAATGCGGTGCGGCATGATGCGGCCAGCATCTTCGCGCCTTGCAACTTCAGCTCAGTTTGCATGAATATAACCAATAAAACACCACAGTACTAGAGAAGCAGTTTGTATGAGGAAGTAACATGAAAGCTTAACAACTAACTCCAGGGTGGGCCTCACTTTGAGCCAGGACCCCCAAAGCGGCTTGCTGTTGATAACGTTTTGTTGGCTTAGATGCGACGGAGCGAAGCGACCGGATCGTGTAAGTCTGGTTCTGTGGTGCTGTCGTACAACTGGGTCGCAGTGGCGACTTCATTCTTGCTGCTCTCCTGGTAAAGTCATTATGCCTTCACGCAGAAGAGCATACAGCCTTGTCCAACTAGTCAGCGTGACAGGCTGTACTTGGACCCCCAAACCGGCTTGCTGTTGATAACGTCTTGCATGTTGATACGCCTCCTGCGGACTTGTCCCCCAGTAGGGTCTGCAGATTGCATACAGATTACGTTCGGGTCTTATTCAAAGTGTCCCAAACTTCGTCTTGGAAGACGCCCACCTTCTTAAGCGCAAGCTATTAACAGCCCGACGACCGTTTGTTATCTCTTCCAGAATGGCATCCGATGGTGCCCTGGGTGTGGATGTGCATGGGCCGGACAAGGTAAGAACGGGGTTGGACTGCGTCTGACTGAAGAACTGGCACCAATGGTGCACGTTTCTCACATTTACACCAAGTCGCGTTCCATGCCTGTTCTCTTCCCAATTGTGTTAACCTTCTGCAGAAGCGTCAAAAGCTGGCAAAATTGACGGGGTTGGGCTTCGCCAGGGACATGGCCGAAGTCATCATGGAAACGCTTGGGATGGACCCCATCGGGCAGTCGGCCGATGCCGGAGCAGGACTTCCTTGTGTTTGAGTTTGGTTAGCTATGGGACGCGACTTATAAGCAGAACTTCCTTGTGTTTGAGTTTGGTTTGCTATGGGACGCGACTTGCAAGCAGGACTTCCTTGTGTTTGAGTTTGGTTAGCTATGGGACGCGACTTATAAGCAGAACTTCCTTGTGTTTGAGTTTGGTTAGCTATGGGAAGCGACTTGCAAGCAGGACTTCGTTGTGTTTGAGTTTGGTTAGCTATGGGACGCGACTTGCAAGCAGAACTTCCTTGTGTTTGAGTTTGGTTTGCTATGGGACGCGACTTATAAGCAGAACTTCCTTGTGTTTGAGTTTGGTTAGCAATGGGACGCGACTTGCAAGCAGGACTTCCTTGTGTTTGAGTTTGGTTAGCTATGGGACGCGCCTTATAAGCAGAAGTTCCTTGTGTTTGAGTTTGGTTAGCTATGGGACGCGACTTGCAAGCAGGACTTCCTTGTGTTTGAGTTTGTTTTGCTATGGGACGCGCCTTATATGCAGGACTTCCTTGTGTTTGAGTTTGGTTTGCTATGGGACGCGACTTGCAAGCAGAACTTCCTTGTGTTTGAGTTTGTTTTGCTATGGGACGCGCCTTATATGCAGGACTTCCTTGTGTTTGAGTTTGGTTTGCTATGGGACGCGACTTTGCAGCAGAACTTCCTTGTGTTTGAGTTTGGTTTGCTATGGGAC